AAATTTACGATATAAAATAATAAATCTACTACCAAATGGTTTAAAGAATGAATTTTAATTGATTCATTTTTTATTTCTACACATACAGTATAATTTACATTAATTTTACATTAATAAAATCAAATCTCCATTATAAATACGCTTATGATATTTCAATAATCCAAGAGTATTTACTATACTCAAACTAAAAAGCTTTAATGATTGCAAATGCACATAAAATATCAAACCAATATTACCAGTCACAATATGAGCAGGTTAAATAAATTAATTGATTCGCATCACTGAATCTATTTTATAGCCTATACAGTTGATTACTGTAAAAATCTATATAGATCTAATAGAAAATGTTTTCAATCTATGTGTTAATATTTTATTTAATATTAAGTCAAATTAATTATGTCATATAAAATATTATAAAAACATTAAATTTATTTAGTGTGCTGAAATATTATGAAAATTTAGAAGTCAAAGAAATATTCCCTAAATTTTTATTTTATTTTACATTAGAAAATGTCTTTTTTACTCTTCAAGACTTTGAAAATCTATTTCTGTTTCTTTTATATACACTAAAGTAACTCAATAATGAATAGTTCTTTTTTAATATTTTATAACCCTTTATTAATCTATACATTCTAAATGAGATGAAATGTATGAAATACATTTTTTTTTTGTTACAGTACTTACTTAATTCAAGTAGAAAATATAAGGCACATGGTGTGTTTATCAAAATTTTCTGTCATATTTACCTATTTTTTTATAATGGTGATTTTTTGTTTATGGAGCAATAACATGGGATTAAGTTTGTCCAAGCGAAAATCCCCTATGCATTCTACGATAAAAGACAAAAATGCCAAGTTTTAATATTATATTTTTCATTCCCTCTTAACCTCATTTAATGTAAAAAATATAATTTAGAAACACTTATATACAAAAATATATCGTGTACAACGCTCATAGAGCATGACCAGCTATGTATGATTTATTATTCACACAACGCCAAATTCAGTCGTGCAACATCGTCACAAACTCTCTAAATTCTACAAATGAGTTTAACGATCAAGAAAAAACGCATTGGTATTATAATTTTTGTTGAATTAAAAAAAATGATTTTTTTTTAGCATTAACAAAGAATACTTACTACTATATTTAAAACGTACTGTATACTATAAACTATACATCTCAATTAAACTTATATTCAAAAATAAAAAACTTAAACGATTACTAAAAAATAACAACTACATAACACTTAATATTAAAAAAAATAATCAATATTTTTAAATTTTAGTGAAATATTATTTTTTGCGAATAAGTTTTTCAGACATAAATTTTTCAACGTAACAAATATTGTGTGTAAACGAAAAACTTTTCAAGGAATATTTTTAGAACTTATAATTTTTTAACCTGCATAAACATTTTGTAAGAGATAATCATAATTTTTTCGAAATTACACGAAAATGTCAATATAGCTAATAAAATATACTCGCAATCTACAGGATAAATATAATATTTAAAATACTCTCATAAAACTTTCAAGGCTAGAAGAACCTAAAATACTTAGAATAACACCAATAAAAAATAAATAAAATGATCATAACCTTCTAGGGGTTTTTTACACAATACAGATAACATGATATTTCTTATAAATTTAGCTAAAATTTTCTGACGGGAGAATATTCTAGAGATAGGTCTCATGGGACGTACACAAATATCATCTTTAATATAAAAGTTTATAGTTTCGGTTGACCTCATACCATAACAATTGAATTATCTGCGGGTAAGATGTTTTTTAGGTGGCAAAAAGGATGACTGAGAAAAGCTTCTGTCTATATATTATGCGTGGTTTAGTGAAAAATATAAACGGTAGTAAAAGAGGGTCAAAGTTTTTGATCAATAAAAATGTTTGGCAACAACTATTTTACGGGATGCAACCTATATCATAAGAATTACAAAAGTTATTTATAGGGTATAACAACTGTAAACAAGCACATTTTTTCAACACACTAGTGAAAATATAAACGATACATGGACACATTTGGACAGTAATATTTCTATAACAAATCTTTTCCGGTTTATTTTAAGGTTCGGATTTCTTCACAAATCATTAGATAATACATTTAAACTATTTCAATAGTCTGAGAAATTGTACTTAAAAATGATATATTATTATAATTATTATCGGATGCTGTTGAATTAAATTGCTTTATATTTGATTAATTTTACATTTATATAACTTGAAGTTTCTCGGGAGATTTATTATTATGTACGTAAAAGTAACTTGATGAATCTAATATTTAAAAATAAAATAATGATAAATATTAGGAAAAATATTTTTATTTAAATTATAGTACTGTTATTGCTTGAAGAAGTTTTTTAATTACAGGGGATATTGTTTTAATTTGATGTTTTACTTAAAACGTTTACGGTTTGTTCTTTGTTATTATTATTATTCATTTTTTTTTTATTTTTTGTAGTATTCAAATATTCCATTATTTGCAGTCTTTATAAAATTGTTTTTTTCGAGTTTAAATTAAAATTTTCAAGGAATACATTATTTTAATGTCATTTTTTAACTCTCAAACTTAATGTCACCTTTTCATGGACTGTAGTGTTGATGGAGTCTTACACAAGCCTTTGTTACATGCTTTATTTAAGTTTTGTAGTTCACTCTGGTTTTTAAAAATCATCATTTCTTAACAAACCAAAGTTATAGTCTTATAAATAAAAAAATTTAGTAATAATAATACGATATAACGATAAGTACAATAAGAACTTTATTGAAAAGTNATAAGTCGATATAACGATAAGTACAATAAGAACTTTATTGAAAAGTTATTTCGAACAAGTTTCAAACTGATGTCGGTGAACATTATATATTATTCGATAATATTCCATTTATGAATAATAATAACTTGGTTGGGTGAACAACTCACATGATATTTGACATGTATTTATTTTTATAATAAAAAATAAGTCGAAAATACCATATAAATAATATTGATCATGGATTTAGAACTTCGGAATTTTCGGGCATTAGCTACATTTTATAATTGATATTAATATTAATATTTTTAATTTTTATAGTACCAATATTTACATGTATGCATTATATTTCTTTATCCAACTTCGATGTCTTTGATGAAATGCAGTATTATTGGGACTATCTTTATGTTCAATCCTAATGACTCGTTAAGATGGTTAGAAATCTTATAATTGAGGTGTTGGTTTTCATACTTGATACATTCAATTTTACAAATACAACTTTTTTTCTATCATATCATCAAATTAAAAAGAAGTTTACGTTAGAGAAAACTGGAGTTTAGATATTTTATTCCTGAAGGTATGAAAAATAAAATAATTTAACTTCAATATAATGTAGACTTTTATCATTCAAACAATGTTATCATGTACGAAATTTTTTAATTTTCAAAAGTTTTTAAGAAAATTAATGCCATATTCATAATGAATGTATTTTATACAGATTGGCTTATCATAAAACACTCGATTAATAGCAAACTAAATACAATATTAAAATAATAAGGAAGAATGCGGTCGATAAATGTCAAATAATAATAATAATAGTAGTAACCGTACTTTAGCTTCAGTCTATATTTTAAATTCTAATAACGTCCAAATGACTGGTCCAAAAGTTATTATGGACGAGTCATTTTCTTTATTATAAGCTAGTTAAATATGTACGTTGCCATAAAAAATAAATTATCACTCCAATAATTAATAAAGGGTGTTTCTAAAAAGTAATTAATAGAAGATAAATAAAGAAATATATGTAACTTAAAATTATTGTATTTTTTCTGCGAGTAATCGAGTGATTTATAATAAATCGATCACTCTGTATAGCGTTTAATAATTTTTTGTCTATAAAACACATTTTGTGATAATATATTTTTAACACGAGTTTTTAAAGTACAATAAGGTATTAAATATTGTTTTTCATCAAATACTTTTCATTGAAATCTATTATATCAAAACTATGTTTTTAAATTATATTAAGTAATTTTAATTTGAATTACATTGGTTTGTTTTTGTATGGAGAAATTATGATTTAGCAGACTGTAATCTAAATCAAGTCTCATTATTAGATAATTAAGAAGTTTGTAGACAATTATTATTATTTTTTTTTACGTTGATTACTTAATTTTATTCGTTATGGTAATCAATAAAATTGGCTTCCAACGCATACAAAAAATATATAAGGACAAAAAAATACTGAATTTACTTATTACAATTTAAAGTGACGAAATTGTGCAAAACGAATTAAATTGCATTACATTATACTAAATAATGCGTAGATTTATTAAAATGTAAATTATATAAATAAAACGTTAAGCTGTTTTATTTCTTCTTTTGTTTTATCCAAGAGAGTATAAATAAAAAATGAACGCAACAAGATTTTAAAGGTAATGCGGGGGGATTTCCAGGGATTTGATCTGCTAATCCATCAAAGTTACCTGGCAGTATTAACATATGTGTTGTACAACTGCTAATCAAATAAAACTTATGCGGATAGTATAATACTACAGCGACAATACTGTACTTGAACAGTACATTGTATAATAGAATGAAAAGTTGGCCAATTACTGTGTGCAACACAGATTCGCAAATGGGAGTTCTCTCTTGGAGGGTATGTTCGTATGTGTGCCAAATTTATGATAAATCGGTTCATTAGATTGTCAAATACAAACTGTTCTCCGTGGGAAAGTACGAGTAAATGTATCGAAGTGGAACGACGGAGTTTTGTCGAAATCATTTTTAAACAAATTTGCTTTGGTTTTTTTTTTTCTTTACCAAGTTCGATATTAAAAATTTACATTATTATTTATGCGCACTAACGACACGGTCGGAACGCAGGCGGGATAAAAAAAATAAACCCATTACTGCTATACTCTGAGTGTATGTAAGCGCATCTAGACGTTAAAGATGATTGGCAGCGTTCGAGTAACGTATACGCTGACAGGTCACTTGGCCTGTTCATTTTTACTTACCGTTTTGCGAACACTTGGCACAGTGAAACGTCCCGATGGCCATCACGGTCAATCCCATTACGCCTACCACAAACGGTTTCATGGTGCACGTGTTATGCCGTCAACACGTTCGATTGGCTGGTTTCATGCGCAACGATGACTGCGGGGACCGTTTGAGACGGGCATCGTGAACAATGACACGGGACGTGACCTGAAATTAAAGACGAGCGTTACACTGGAATTAGTCGGTCGATGTACAGTAGCTCAAACAAGTATGATTTAATACAATTATGGCGGCTAATAACGAGAATAGCTGCCGTCGCACAATTCTGTGGATTTTCGAGGCGTTAAAAAATACTCGATTCGCACCTATCTCGTATTGCGGACACGGCCGGTTAAACGCCATACTGATATTTATTAATATTGTGAGTAACGCAACGTTTTATAACGTATGGATTTTACTTTATAGAATTATTACTGTGCGCGACGCACATACTAATGATACATTAGGGATGGCAACGTGAAATCCCTGCAGAATAATATTCTGTGAATATTATATGCTATCCACGAACGGAAATCCAAACCGAACACATGATATCAAATGATTTTTTTTTTTCCCCCGCTCATAATGCGATACCGTCGAATAACGATTAAACGCAACACGAATATTATGTTAAACAAATTAAAATGCAAATAATAGGTCATTTCGATATCGTTGAATTGTTTTCACTTTTAATCTGTTAAATGAAGAGCTCGTGATTTTTTTTTTATATTTAAATAACTAGCTTAAACACGAAACGATTATTATTTATTTGGCTGTCATAACGGTGTTCCAAGCTTGTTTAAAAATAATTTGTTCATGAGCGATTACTATCGGTAGGTTTGTAACGCAACACACTAAACTCGCGTTAATCATAATAAATTATAAAACTGCTGGAAACTATTTTCTACAACAGTATAGTTGTAAAACATGACAAATGTCATTCTACGCACACGTATTTACGAGATTAGTCGTTTTAATAAAATAATTATTAATGTTGTTGTTTATAGAGCATTTTGAACTTGTCAAATAATGATTTATAGCTATAAAGAAATCTAATTGTCAACTTAAGTGTAGTCGTTTTATACGTGTCATTATCAAGGCTCGCAAATTTAAGTACTAAAAAATATCAAAATATTCACATAATAATGCACTCGGAAATAGTCAAACATGTGGTAAAATATGCGCTAAAAAATAATAAAATTTTCAAAATTAAAAAAAATGGTCAATTCGTTTTATTTACATAAGTAGATTTATTTTCTGTACGTTATTTTTTCGTGGTACCCATAATGATTTTCATCTTGAATTCTTACAACAGTTAAAATTAATGCGTTTTTGGAAAATAAATGAAATTTGTTTATTTACCAAAATTACACTGAAATATAAAGCTATAAGTAAAATTTACTTTCTAGTATTTTCAAATTTAAACAATCTTCAGTTTTGGCACAAAATATTTCTATAGTTGAGAATGATCTTTCCACGCCGACCGATGTAATAAGTGCAAATTTATAAAAACAAATATAATTGGCGGTGAGGTGTTCAAGTATTGCATCTCAGTCGTTATAAATTCCGCAATTATTTTTGGTATTTTTTTCAACTTTGTTAACCTAATGATTTTTGTCAAATACGGTTTCAAATATTTTCATCATTGTACTAAACTACTTTTAATTGAGCTTGAACTTCTTCCGAAATACCTAGATATTCAGTTAATAGCATATTTTGCTGATAGAATTTTAAAATTTGATTTAATATAGATTAAAATACTTTGAACACATATTTTTGCTAATTTATTTTCAGCAATTTTAATGTTTAGAGCCACTCTTGAATATAACATGTTTGCAATTTCACTAACACAATAATAGCAGTAGTTACTGAGAGCAGTTATACAAGTGTTTCAATGAGTGATAAAAAGCTCTAGTGGTAATGGAATTTTTGACGTGTTATTCTTAAACAGCTGAAGACGCATTGATGCTTTTTTTAAATTTTTATTACATTCGATACGATTTTGTTCACAATAGCTAACAAATTGATCACGTACTTCGTCATTCGTTAGGAATGACATTACAGTAAATATTGTGTACGTGTGGTCACAATAAAACAAAATAGTCTTTGATGAAGTGAAGTCGAGCAATAATAAATAAAATGTGTTGACTATTTTAGATGTTGAGAGTGATATTAGTTAAAACCCATTTCATACATAATAGAATATAAAATTATTATGAAGTATAAAGTATATTCGTAGAATTAAAATAATCGTATTATCATCTTGGTATGAAAAAATTCAAATAAAGGGAATTAAGTTATAATAATATACATAGAATTATTAAAAAAAAACTATTTATATAAAAACCCTCGTTTTTTGGTAAATATACAAAAATATGTTCTAAAAAACTAAAAAATATTATTTTTGTAAAAAGTGACGAAATAATATTTAAATATTTAGTCTGTGAAAAAAAGTCATTGTGAAACGAATTTGTATCAGAGCCAGAAAATTAGTATGTGCTTTACTCACTAATATGCATTTGCTTCAGTTCCGAATTCTAGTCATTAAATAAGTAAAATATTATGATTGGCTCTCACAATACATTTTTTAAATTTAATTCACATCAAATCTTCGTTAGGCATAATCCCTTTATGTAATTTGTTTATTAAGAGTTTCGTAATAAATTACAATGTAGTCTATAAAAAAATTTAATTATTTTATTTGTGAAAAAATAAAAAGGATATTTTTTGAAGGATTTTAATATTTTTTATTTGACAATGGATTTTATTGTATAATAGTAATTAAACTAACTTGATAATCTTAATAAATTCTTTCAATTGAAAAATCAATTTTTATCTAAACACGATATAATAATGAAATAATGTTTTTAATTATTGTTATTAAATAATGTTTAATTTTCATTGCACCTGTCATTTTTACTGACCTACTATAGTCTTAAATTATATGTTTGTTTGTTATAAATTAAATTTATTTACTTGATTGTTACTAAATTAATATAATAATAATTTCAGGTTTAATAGAGTAATTATTTTAAAAAGTTGCTATCTAAATACGTTACGTTAATATATATGGTTTATAATACTTGGTACATTATTTATAAAAAAAGTTTTAATTTTTTAACGGTTAATTAATTTTATCCCGTTTTCTTTTGTTTGTAAAACCACGATAGACTTTCGTAGGGTCAAACAATTATTTTTAAAACACACAAAAAGTTTGATCAAAATTAAGGTTTAGTCGAAAAATTATTTAATTTGGCTAGAAAACACAGTGTTTTATTTTTTTTGATGAAAACAAGTGGTAAAGCTTATTTGAGGCGTTTCAAATAATGAGTGTAAAACTATTTCTTTGTAAAAACTTTTCTATTAGTTCATAAAAGGTGATATAAAAAAATCTTAATTTTTTTTATATTAAACGTACTTTAATAAAGGAACCAAACTAAAATATCGTTAATTTTTGAAGCAGGTAGATTTCTTTTAAATCCTAATGCAAGATGAACATGGAATTTTATAATTAAAAAATCTTAAAAGGCATCATTTGCCAATAAGTTTATTTGTATAGTAAACAATTTAAGTAACTATCGTAAAATACAAACTGCATTAATATTCAACATGAAATTGATATCGAGATTATTTACATGTACGCAAAAAAAACTAAAACATTTTTTTAGTAAAAATATAAAGGAGATCAAGATAAAAACACAATTCATTTTTTTATATCCGGAAAATGTAAAATCATTTATCTTTAGTCTTGTATAATTTATGATAAACAATGTATCAAATGTACCCTTAAAAAGGCATTAACTAAAAAAAAAACTTCATTTTATATAAATTTAATTACAAAATATTTATAGTTTTGCACATTTTTTTATTATTTATAGGCTAAGTATACTATTAAACTTGTTAAAGAAGTAGATCTAAATAACGTATATTTCGTTCAATAAAAATTATTTATACACTTTTTTAAAAGACTTACTCAGTATTAAAAAAATTGCGCTTGATAACAACTAGAAGAATAAAAATAATTACTTTTAGAGTTAAGACATTTTAACTTTTAATTGGAAAGGAGAATGGGAGGTTCAATATCGTCCTTACAGTAGTCAGTATAACGATTTATAGTTTAAGAGATAAAAAATTCTGTAATGTTGCAATAACTCAAAAGTTGTTATCAGATATTTTCCAGTAACTTCTTTTTATTAGTATTAACGCGTAATTAATAGTTTGAAAATAGCTACTGAATTTTTTATTTTCAATTTAGCCATCCACGAATAGAAAAATTTAAATAAATATATATATATTTTTTGCAAGTTTTTTTTCTAATAAGAAAATTAAAAGTTATAACAGAACAAAGGTGATTAAATATTAACTCCTATTAAATATAATTAATCATCTTATATGATTCCAATTATATATGTCAAAATAATGAGATTTATTTATCACAATAAAATTTAGTAGAAGCATTATATTATATAATTTATAATATCCTGCAATTATACTCATCATATCATCTAATAATTATTATTTATTAAAGGAAGTTTATGATAAATTACATTTTTAAGACTTATGATTATTTTTGTTGTTTTCATTTTGTTATAAAATTGTTTTCAGCATTATTATATACCAAGATTTTTCTAGGGCGATAGCTCTAAATATTTAATAATATTTCTGTATCAATATATTTATTAATTTTTAATAATAAACTAAAAATTCAAATATCTTGTACGGTAACATAAAACCAACTTAATTTTTAGTAAATAACTTTATCCTATGTCAACATAATAAAAATTAATGACTTGCGTTTCATTAATTTCAATTGTTAAAAAAGGTAAAGTAACTTTTTGGTGTTGTCAGTAGTAGCATACACATAAACAATTTACTTTTAGTTTCATTTTATCGTTGTCCATTAAAATAGTTTGAATTTATGTTATACAGTTATTTCTAAGAAAACACAATTCAACTTTTTATTAAAGGGTAAGTGACTTTATTGTTTCCAGTTAGTATCAACAGGACCCTTTTTACATTTTTATATTTTAATAATGCTGTTCGATTTAAATTTTATTGGAAACATTCTGTCAGTAAGATCCACAGCGATAGATAGACTTGTGACTTGTAAGCTGTATTTTTCGATTTTAATTAAAACAATGTCGAATGGCATCCATACTTCGTTGGTC